AAGACGCATAACCGAACATAAAAAAAAAAAAGGATCAAGCACAAACACAAAATCGAACAAGAAAACAAATAAGAACCATATATACAAAACTTAAACAAGATAAAAAAAAAACAACAGATAATATGAAAAGCATACATACATATACACACATATAAATTCTAAATAAAAAATTATTAAACTTGACAAAGTTATCAAAATATACCGAAAATAATAAAAATTCATACAACAAACTGGAAATCAATTATGGAATTAAATTGAAAAACAATACTAACATGTATCTCATTTAAAAAATTCATATTAAAAAAATATTTTTGTTAGTGCATGAGATGAAATGGAGAATGAAATATTAATTATGACAAAATATAAAACGAGTTTACTTATTAAATGGGGTATATATAGTATGAGGTGTAATAAATTACTAATGGGGAGGGTATAGAAAGAGTGAGATTAATAGTTTGATAATGAGAAATTAAATGGGGCAAAAATAAAAATTTGTGAGGTGGAAATAGCCCCACACAAACTTAAATTCAATTAAATTTTACGAATATTTAAGTTGAACTCAAATGAAAACTAATTTTAATTATTTAACAAAATTTTCTACATCTATGAGAATTCACGTGAAACTTTGGATGTTTTCCTCACAAAAGTTATATTAACTCACATGAAATTTGAGATAAAGTTTAATAAAAATGATAAAATTATGGATGTCTAACCAATAATAATTATATTTTTTTGTTGCAGTAGTTGTAACGTGACTTTCGTTATATAAAATGTTTAATTATATATGTTTTTCATACAGGTTGAACAATATCAATTTGATCGTTATATTGTTGAAATTATATTATACATTGCCCTTATTTATGAAAAATATTTATAATTTTTTTACGAGTAACATAGTGTCTTCAGACACGGATAATAAAGTAGTTAAATTTCTTTATCTTTACCTTTTCGCGGCTCAGATCTCTTGATGATTATTAATTCGACGATCCTCAGGCCAAAATTTTTTAAGACTCCTATCTCTTATTTAACTCTCTTTCTCTCTCTATCTCATTTATACTAATAAGATAGAGGTGATTTCAAACTTTCCAAATTGAAAATCAATCTTCTCAATTAATTAATGATTTTAATTAATAATTAGTGAATTTTAATTAATGATTTTTTTTTTTGTATTATAAAGTACCTTTAGACATGACAACTAACTAGTAGGCACAATATATTAATTTTACAGGTTATTTGGCTTCTACGGAATGAGTGAATGTATTTAATTATTGATATTAGCCTCAGTTTAGTGTTAGTTTAGTTTGTAATTTGTATCTTATTCATTTTGTATTAGATGTTTTGGATTATTAAATTGCATCAGTTGATAAACAATGGTAATAACGATATTAACGTAATGTGATAAGATTATTGATTTAAGGTAGTGTTTATTTACAGAAAGGTTTGATTATGAGTTGTACACACAGGTTGATATTATCAATTAGATCATGTGTTTCAAGGAGAACTCTATCAAAAAAAATTTAAAGATAAAAGTTGGTTTATATTAACTACTGAGATTTTATGTGTTAAACCAATTATTTTAGTTTGATATTCACGTATATAGTCATAACTATATGTAATATATTGTTGGTAGTAGTATTGTTAAACAGTTAGTTTTATGTGTTACACTAATTATTTTGATTTGGTATGCCTTTTAATCAACCACAATTATTTTTTATTACTTTGTGTTTTCAGACACGGACAATTACTAGTATATACATATAGGGGAGAGAGAGTATCACTTGTCCTTTGAATTTGAATTTCAAATTTATATAAAAAAATTTATTGGCATATCTTTATTGACAGTGAACTAAAGGATAATAATTTTAAAGTTAAGAAGCTAATTTAATGTTGCTTTTAAGGAAGAATATTTTGGAGTTTTAAAAAAATAACAGACTTAACTAATTATTAGTAAGATTAAAAATGAATTTATTCCCAAATAAATTTTCTAGATGGACTAAACACATTATAAATCATTTAAGGATGACTCAACCTCAAATTTTGCATAAAAAATTAAATTAGACTTAATTTTTTGGGGCTTTTTTTAGGACTAAACCCATTATAAATCATTTAAGGATGACTCAACCCCAAATTTTGCATAAAAAATTCAATTGGACTTAATTTTTTGGGACTTTTTTTAGGGCTTAAAATTTAATGGATTTAATTTTTTTTATGGGCTAGTAATGTATCTAGAATTATGGAACCTTCTAAAAATTTGGGGCTTAAAGTCGAGACTTTATTTTTTAAGCTATTAGAGTGGCCTGACAACCCTTATGGATTAAAAATGGCACATAACCCTGTTGTGATTTTTATAATAAAATGCACCACTTATCTCTGTTAATGGCAAGATTAAAAGATATTCATACCCCTCCGTGTGAATTCCACATGCATGAATTTTACTCCGTGGTGTTATAGAAGTTGTTGACTGACTATTTAATTTTTCAGCTAAATGGAATAGTAATTAGTAACGACAGAGACTAATCTAAACCGTCAATGGGGATAATGACTCACATATATGAAAATAATAGATTGACTGTTGTAATATTGAGTTAAAATTGAATAACTGTTAATTGTGACACAAATTGATCTAAACAAATAGTAGGATAATTAACTCCGCCATGCTACGAAAGCAGTGTGAATTGATTGTTACGATATTGACTCGAATGGAATAGTAATGATCCAGTTAGTCTTGGCAATGGTTCCACATACAGGAATTTATGTCTGCCGTGCTAGGAATGAGTTGACTGACTTTTGTATTTCTAAGTCAATAGTCATGATATTGATGGCTTCTGAATTCTAGTGGTCGACAAGGTGTGGCCTGTAAATTATCCAACAAAGACTCCGTTTCTCTATTTAATTGGACAGCACTTTGTCAAGAAACAGATAGAAGTATATTATTATCTTAATAACTATACAATAATAGATCGGTAAGAAAAATTTGATCAAATCAATGGGTTTGCAATCGTGAAATACGTGTGATTGATAATGTTACTAGATATGCATGTAATTAAAGTTTCATATATCTATCAAAAAAAATTTCACATCCTATAATATCAAAAATTTATAGGATCTATTTGAATAAATATGGGGTCCAACTTAGTTTCATGAGAGTTTTGTGCAAATGAGATAAACCACAAAGAGATAAACTAAAGTTTGGCCCCCCTCCCCCTCCCCCTCTTCCTCTTTTTTATCAGAAGTTGCATCCATCTCATCTACACCATATCGAACACAGCAGTGGTCTAATGGCTCAGCAGCCCGTTGTTAGACCGATAGGTTGTGAGGTCGAACTGTATTAGGTCCTCCCCGATTAACTTTGCAACAGTGACAAAAAAAAATCTACACCATATTTTTTTGTTGAGGATTTTGTAGTTAGTCTAATGATCATTTTTCCGTAGTTATTAGCAAATTCAAACCTCATTATTTACTAGCTTGAAATTTATGAGAATAAAAAAATAGACCATTATCTTTTGCTAAAAAATAAATTAAAAAAACAATTCATTCATATACATGATTCGTTTATTAATTCGTGTTTAATGAATCATGTCATATCAGATTTGTGTCGTGTATAGGGTTGATAATCGAGTCAAGCTATATGAACTCAATTCGAGTTTGGCTCGTTTTGAGCTCAGTTCGGGCTCGACTCGAGTTCACAAAGTTTGACTCGATTATCATTTCTAATCTTATATAAATTGTATAAAAATAATATATAAACGAGTCGTATGGACCATTTTTTTAATTGACTTTATTCATATTCAATTCGTTTGTTAATCATATTGTGTCGGATCTCCTCGCTTACGAAATGAGTGGCTTAAGGGAGACTCAAACTCTCTAATTTTTTCTGCTCCTAGGTCGATGCAATATGCAATTTTACAACTATTTAATTAAAAATCTAATTCAATACAATTATTAGATTAATTATAAATTTTAATATTAAATTGAGCTTACTTTTAATTTAGTTAATGCATTGAATTAAGTTTTAATTCCCCAAATTAAGCCAAAATAACATTTTTGCACCTTAAATATTGAAATGAAATAAGACATATATCTAAAGTAAAAAAACCAACAAGTCTTTGGTCCAATGATACTCCTTAACTTGTGAAGGTTTTGTCTTCTTAGGGTCAAGGGTTCAAGTCTCATTTCCCCTTCTCCTCCACAAAAAATAAAAAGAACAAGAAATAAAAAGGAGTGTCATACTATTTTATTTATTGTATATTGGACAAATTGATGAATATGTACAACTTAGAAATGCTTCGGCAGTGGAATACTATATAAATTCCACTTTTTGGTATTGTCAAAAAGTGAAAAATAATTAATTTTATCTAAAAAATGATAGCTGAACTCAAAAAGACGGTAGGTGAATTAAAAAAAAAATTAATAAATGAACAAGAAAAACAAAAAGATCTTAAAAGTTAATAATTACATAATTAGTTAATAACTCCGCCCATAAATGACATAATTAGTCAAAAAAAAAATAGTAAGATATCAAAATTTTTTGTTAGACAATTTCGGATGAAAATCCAAACTCTTACCCAAATTTGAGTAAAAAATTTGATTTGTTATAGACTTCTCGAACGGAGAAAGTCAAATACAAATGAAGGTAAAATATGACTTTTGAATTTTTAAAGGACGGTGAAATCTCACTATCATAGATTTGAGTTTTTCTTAATTTGGATTTAAAAAATACTCAAATTTAAATTTGGGAAAAAAAAAAAAAGTAACGACAAGAGATGTTCTTAGTATCATAGTCAAATCCGCTTTGGCTTTTTTAAAGATTTTTTTTACCACGGAGGCCATTATATATATTTGAGCTAGAAAACATACATCACAAAGATAAGAAAAGAGTTCCAAGTGTTAGGGAAAATAACATTCTCTCTCTGTCTCTACTTTTGTTTTGTTTTGTCATGGAGTATCATCTGGTGCTGTATTTGTTGACTCTTTTGGCTTGTGGGCTACTTCATTTTCAGGCTCATGGAAGCTTAGCTTGCTTGGAAGAAGAGAGAGTGGGGCTCTTGAAATTGAAAGAAGCCTTCCATCACCCAAATGCGTCTGCTTCTCTTCCTTCATGGCGGGTTGAAGAGATAGACTGTTGCAGGTGGGAAAGGGTCACGTGCGATAGCATGACAAAGCGAGTGATAGGACTCTCTCTCAGTGATGCAAGACAACTGGAGTTATTCAACTTTTCCTTCCTCAACGCCTCCTTCTTCCTCAACGCCTCTTTGTTCCTTCCCTTTCAGGAACTACAAAATTTAAGCTTGGGCTGGAACTCTCTTACAGGTCTTTCTCTCTCTCTCACACACACACAGGCACAACATTTCCCAGCAAGCCATGTATTTTTTTTTTCTAATGAATTATATAGGTGAAAAGTGAGTTAACTTGGTTGTATACACCTAGACAATGTTGCGATGAACAAGTGAACCTAGGTGAAGAAATATTGTCTGCTCAAGTGCCATGTGGTGTGTAGTACATTACCCATAAAATATTATGCATCTCCAATAAGTAGATGTCACTTGTGTGAAGTTGTCAAAATATTTTAAAAAAAAATTAACTTGAGAAATCAACAAGCAATGTTTGTAGGGATGCAACTTGAACGGGTTAACTCAAATTCAACTCCAGCTAAGCTCAAAAAAAAAAAAAAATTTGGGTTGACCTTAAGCTAAAAAAATCTCAGCTCACAACCTGAAATCAAAATAAATATTTAAATATATATACACACACACACATAGATAGTAAGTGTATTTTAGATTTTTATTGAATTTATTTTAAATTTTCTAAGTTATTGTGTCATGCACGAATTTATTTTAAAATGTGATGGAATAGAAATATGTTGCATTGTTATTTTTTCCCAAATTATGCATGCTATTATGCTATTGACAACGAAAACGGATGAAATCGGTGAAATAGTGGCAAGTTAATAGATTTAGCGTTCGAATTTGAAAAGACACTAAAGCAGTTTATTTATTTTACGAATTAAATAAGTGGTTTCAAGAAAATCTTAAAAATGATTTGTCTATTTAATAGCTAACACGAGTCATATTTTGTAACCCGTTTACTAAACAAGTTGCATTCGAGTTTGATATTTAGACTCATTTACGTAAACAAATTGTCTAGAAGTAAAATATTTTTTAATATGAACCTCATAAAACTTAAGTTCAACTTACACTGCATGATTAACTTGCCTAAAAAAGACCTTTTAATTTGATAAGATTATGCACTCTCGGGTTTTGGAAAGTTGTCGAGAAACTTTCCTTACAAGGGTAAAAATCATGCATAGATAGTGGTCTAATGACAAGGCCGACGATAGAAGCTCGGGACGGAGCCGTATGATGCGGAAGTCTCACGTACGATTCCCTGAGAAGGGAGTGACTACCTACTGGAGCTTCGACCAACCACCACCGATCAATTCCGCTTTGGGGCCACCCCTTACTCTACCATTATTATAAGAAATATCAAGGCATATCAATTTTTCCTTTATACTTTACTTGGATCTGTTTTTATTGGGCCCTTAAACTTTGCACTCAATTTCAATTAAGCCCTTCATATTTATTTTGTCTCAATTAAACCCTTGAACTGTCTGAAAGTTTCAATGCAGCCCTTTTGCTTAATTTCTTCAAAAAACCTAACAGCAAAATGCAGTTTTCTCACTTTGTCTAGATTAGTGGGGGTATTTTAGGCATACTAAAAAGGTTAAAGTTATATTGGTCCCTAAACTTTGCACCTCATTTAAATTAAGACTTTAAACTTTATTTTGTCTCAATTTAACATTTTAACTATATAAAAAATTCAAATATAATCCTTCCATAAAAACCTCTAACAAAAATTTGCATCTGCTGTACATGACCAATGGCAAATAGCCTAGAACCAACAAAAAAGGTGCAATAGTTCATAACCGACCATGACACTTTGCAAAATAAGTGATTAATGTTCTTTTTCTATATTATAAACACAACACACGCGAGATGCACATTTACTTGTTGATGGAGTCGAAATAAAGGAGACCATCTAAAACTTTACACGTAAATGAAGGGCTTAATTAAGACAAAATAAAACATTAAGGGCATAATTAAAATTATGTGCAAAATTTAAGAACCAAATATGATTCTAACATTTATTTGCTGACCAAAATATCCTTACTAACTCAGTCACGTGATATATGCACATGCGTTTTTCTGTTGGGATTTTTTATGATTTTAGAAAGAAAGGCTACCTTGAAGCTTTGTGATTAGTTGGAGGGCTTAATTGAGACAAAATAAAGATTAAGGACTTGGTTGAAACTGAGTGTAAAGTTTAGGGACTAAATATGATTTTTTTTTTTCCCTTTTTTATTATGCAGACTAATGCACTTTTTTTTTTATTGTGCATTAAACTGTTTTTTTGTTTTGCACCCTTATTAGTAAGTAAGTGGTTCAAATGTTTAGCATGATTAAAACGTAAGTAAGTGGTGAAAAGGTAAGTATGACTATGATAATTTTTGTATACTATCGGTATTCCGTGCAATGCACAGGTTGTAAAACTCATCTCTATTTTTAATTTTTTTTCTTCATCATCATTCATCATCTCTCTCCTCCCCCCCCCCCCCCCCCCCCGCCCTCTCAAGTAAATAATTAATAAAGTTGAGGGGCCACTTATATAGTAGGAGATCTTGATTGGAGGAAGTGATTATTTATTTTTAGTAAGTCAAAGTATTAAAAAAGTAGTTACGAACTTAGAGTCAGTATATATGAAAAGACTCGAAACAATTGCAATGCGATGGTTATCATATAGTTGGAAAGTAAGCATAGACCAGCAGGGATATCCTGAAATATTCAAGTGGTTTTGAAAAGTATAGGTGGTAAGGTGTGATTGGCAATTAATTAATTTAGAAAAAGAGAAGGGGAAGTTTTTCAAGCCACCTCCCTAATTATTTGTTGATATATTTATGATGTTCCCCGAGAAATGCATGAGATGTACAAAGCATCTCCAACCACATTTCAAGTGGTTTTGAAATGTGGAGATGGTAGATGTTGATTAATTAAATATCAAAGTTCCATAAATTTAGAAAATAGGGTGGAAAGCTTTCTCAAGTTATATATATAGGTGAAATGTGATAAATTTATTGTGGTTAAAAGGTTAATTGTTTGTTATAAACTTAATATATTTAGAAAAGATGCAAGTCATAAAATAAGCCACCGAATCTAAAGAAAATGTTGTGATTGAAAGTGGGCTACATCCAATATTAAAATTCACAACTAATTTAATAGTTACTGGCGGGACTCCTGTGTGGATCCTCAGCCTCCAGGGTGACACGTGGCACAATGGAGTCATTAGGATGCCTGAAAGATGCCGAGGGGATAAGTCGAGACATGGTGACACAGAGCGGCCAAGTACAACAGCTGGCCTCATAATTAAAAGCGATGTGACCTCTCATTTATGGCGGAATGAGTGATAGTGACAGGACAAATAAATACACGACTGTCACCACCTGCTCTCTGCAAGTCTATGCCTATTGTCATGATGGCTGAAACATTAATAATTAATGCGCCGAGACAACGCGATGGGTTCTCACGAGGAATTGTTCAGCCGAGTAGTCAGTGGTTTGTTGGTGTCAGACGCCGACCTCTTAGATTGGGTTGCTCGGCTCATAGTATAAATGTTCGGCTTATGACCGAGCATTTACACCATTCCCCTAGCATTCAATTAGAGGAGGCGTAAAGGGAAAGTATCCACTGCACGAGGGATGGTGTGTCAGATGTGAAATGTCCAGATGAGACTGGAGATCTTGGGCAATAATTGCTAATTCAGGTATAAATATTTCTTAGAAAAATGAACAAAGGTACGCAAAATCAAACCAGAACATATCTACTAAGTGAAAGACCCTTCGATCTTACTGACTTAAGTTTCGGAGGGGATCCGTCGAGCTCACGCCTAGCCCCTTTTCTTCTAATCCTCTTTTTTCAGGTTCACCAATTGAAAGATTGCCAATTTACAAGATTGCAAGAATTATCCCATGCAATTTGGCGTTGTCTGTGGGAACGAAAGCATTGCTAATTTTTTTAGTGGCAATCGTTTGATGGTGAACACTCGATCTCAGGGTGAGGGAGTAGGTGGACGGGCCAAGAACGCAGAGCCCGTCCGGCTTCCAATGGTCTTGGAGTCAAGTTCATTAGGCCAATCAGATGGGTAGGGGCGCTCATTGCAAAGAACGCTCCCTATGGATCAGTGCCTTGGGGGGCGTGACCTCAGGGCCCATGACATTGTGGAGATGGTGGAGAAGCGGATGGCCAAACGCATTAAGCAGCTCGAGAGAGAGAACGCCAAGGTCCTGCAACGCCTTGACGATTTTGAGCAGCCAGCAAGCGCGGGTGAACACAGCCTCGGGGTCGGGAACCAGGTGCCCAGCCAGAGCCTATCCAGGCCCCCTTGGCGTGGCCCCTCCGGAAAGGAATGGGTTAGGCGCTCGCCCGAGGAGCATGACCGCCAATGAGGGTCATTGGCCTCTAAGGGGAGGTTAGAATCAGGCCAAAAGGCGAACCTGTCCTGGTGGGACCTGCGCCGAGGGATACCTGAGGGCATTGGAGCCGCAGAATCTCACGCGGAGTCCATACCCGAAGGCCTCGGGGAGATAGATCAGCCGGAGATCCCCGAGTCCCCTTCGTCGCTTAGCGTGACAATAAACCCGCGGTTTACTTCGACGAAGTTATTTCGCCATTCATCCGGGCTATCAAGGAGGCCGAAATGCCGAAAAACTTTACCGTCCCACGGTTCAAGGTCTACGATGGAAAGACCGATCCTGAGAGCCATCTTCGGCAGTACGGACAATTGATGTCAATCTATGACATTGACCAAAGGGTATTGTGCCGAGTTTTTCCAATGAGCCTCGGGGACACTGGCATGAGGTGGTACGAGAACCTAGCCCCCGAGAGCATTGGGTCTTGGAAACAATTGACAGGGCTTTTCCTCGCTCGATTCATCACCAGTAGCAAGAAGCCAAAGGACATCGGCGCTCTGTTGACGCTCAGGCAAAAAGGGGGAAAGACGCTCCAACATATGCCGTTCGATATTGGGATAAGGTCAATAAGGTGGAGGCATGTTCAGAGGCATTGGCCGCGGCGTCATTCAGGTTGGGGCTACCCCAAGACACAGATTTGTACAAATCATTGACCAAGAAGGTTCTGGCGGATATTAAAGACTTGATGGCTCGGATAAACAAGTATGCCCGGGGTGGAGGAAGAGCCCGCTGCGCTGGAGAACAGGGTGACAATGCCGAGAAAAAGGAAAAGGGAGTAGCCGTCCCGGAG